TAAAATATTTTATTTATTATTTTTATTTTATGTGTATGAGTGTATTGCATGTGTGTATGTGAGTGCACCCGTGTCATGCATTGACACGGAGGTCAGAAGAGGGCTTTGGATTCCCCTGGAACTGGAGTTAAGAACAGTTTGTAGCCACCATGTGGGTGCTGGGAATCGAACCCGGGTCCTCTGTAAGAGCAGTCAGTGCTCTTAACCGCTGAGCCATCTCTCCAGCCCCTCTTTCTGATTTTTTAATGTAGGCACTTAGAGCTATAAACTTCCTTATAAGGACAGCTTTCGGCATGTCCCAGAGGTTTTGTTGTGTTGTATTGTCCTTTTAATTTAGTTCCAGGAATACTTTTATTTCTTTCTTAATTTCTCTTTTGACCCATTCATCCTTCAGGAGTGTGTTGTTTAACTCCATGTGTTCATGTGGTGACTAGAGCTTCTTCCGGTGTTGATTTTAAGCTTTATTGCATTGTGGTCTGATAGAATGCATGGAATTACTTCAATCTTTTTGTATTTGTTGAGGTTTGTTTTGTGCCCCAGTATATGGTCAGTTATGGACAAGGTTCCATGGGGCACTGAATAGAAAGTATGTCCTTTGGTGCTTAGGTGGAATACTAGGTAGATGTCTGTTAAGTCCATTTGATATATGGTATTTTTTAATTCAGATGTCTCTCTGTTAACCCTCAGGCTGGCCTTGAACTTACAGAGATCTGCCTGCCTCTGCCTCCTGAGTGCTGGGATTAAAGGCGTGCGCCTCCACGCCCAACTCTGTAGGGCTTTTTTTAATGAAGTTGGGTGTATCAGAGTTTGGTGAATATATGTTCATGATTGTAATATCTTCTTGGTTTATTGTTCCTTTGATCAGAATGAAGTGGCCCTCTTTATCTCTTCTGATTAGTTTCAGTTTAAATTCTGTTTTGTCAGATAGTAGAATTGCAACACCTGCTTTTTTCTTAGAACCATTTGCTTGGTATACTTTTTTCCATCCTTTCACCTTAAGATAGTGCCTGTCCTTGAAAGTTAGATGGGTTTCTTGCAGACAACAAAAAATGGATTTTGTTTCTTAATCTATTCACCTAGTCTGTGTCTTTTGACTGGGAGTTCAGTCCGTTAATATTTAAAGTTATTAATGAAAGATGAGTATTGAATCCTGTCATTTTTATTTCTGTTTACATTCTTGACATAGCTGTACTTTACCACAGTTATACCTTCACTGAATTTCTTCCTGCAACCCCTTGGGTATAGTCATTCCTTTCTTCAGCTCTTTCTGCCTACCTGGCTTAGTGTTCATGAATACCTTTAATCTCTTTTTAACTTGGAAAATTTTCCTTCTCCTTTGATTGTACTTAATAGTTTTTCTGAGGATAATAGTCTGTATTATCATCTGTGATCTTTACAAACATGTGAAACATTCATCAGCCCAGGATGTTCTGGTTTTCAAAGTCTCCACTGAGAAGTCAAGTGTTACATGGATGTCCCTGCCTTCATATGAAATCTTGATCATCTCTCTTGCAGCTTTCAATATCCTTTCTTTGTTCTGAACATTCAGTGTTGTGATCATTAAATGACACAGGGAATGTTTTGCTCATTCTGTTTGTGGTATTCTATTTAGTTTTTCTGCCTTTAGTCATGTCTTTCTTTAATTTTGGGACATTTTCTTCTATGATTCTGTTGAGGATCTGATCCATGCCATTATCTTGGGGTTCTTCCCTTTCCTGTATGCCTAGTATTTGTAAGTTTGGTCTTTTTATGGTGTCACACAATTTCTGCATATTCCGTTCTTGTGCTTTCTTAAATTTTTCATAATCTTTGCTTGTGTGGTCTAGTTCATCCACTTTATCTTCCAGTCTTGATACTCTGTTTTCCATTTCATTCATCCTATTGGTGAGGCTTTCTCCTGTCATTTCTAATTGGCTTACTGAGTGTTTCACTTCCTTCTTCATTTTAGCCTGAGTATTTTTCAATATTTCTAGCTCTTTTCTGAATCCATTCAGAAGTTTATTCCTATCTTCCTTCAGTTCTTTGATTTCTTTATGTGTTCTTTAAATTCACTGAATTCTTTTATCATGTTTATAATTGTTCTTTTGAGTTCCATGTCCTGCATTATCTCTAGGGGGTTCTCACTGTACTCCTCTAGAGGACTATTGGTACTTGGTGGGGATATGTTATTTTTGTTTTTCATGTTATTTTTTCTCTGTGGTTTTGCCATGTGAATTTCTTTTGTAGTTTCTGATTCTTGTGTGAGACTCAAGCCTTCAAGTTTAGTTCTGCTTCTTTTTGTGAACTTTATGTGTCTTTGTGGTTTAATTTTTATGCTTTAAAGGCTGGTTCCTCTAAGCTTCTGGTTCTCTCTTTTGATTTCATATTGGAGTGGCAGGATTGCTTTTGTCTTCAGGAGTTCCCACAGAGGCCCAAGTCACATGAGGATCAATGCTTTCAGGCTTTCTCCTAAGGTCTGGATCCCTCTAGGAAAGATATTGTCCTCAGGAATTTGGGGGTTGGACTGGCCTGGGAGCAGGGCCCAGGAAAGATGCTGGTCTAGGGCAGCTGGTGGCTGTGTCACACAGAAATGCAAAGGGAGATGGGGGCAGGAAGAGTCCACATGGGCTCCTGGGGACTGCAGGGAGGAACTGGGTGGGTCTGGATGCAAAGGATCAGGAAGACACGAGGTCAGCCCTGGTGTCCAGGAAAGAGGCTGGAGGGTTCTGCAGCCCAAGGAAGCAGAGGGAGGTGGGGTGGAACCAGGCTTAGAGGGCTCCTGGGAATTTCAAGAAGGAGCTAGGTTGGTCTGAATGCACGGATCAGGAATCAATGGTGGTTCCCCTAGTGTCTTGGGTGCCAAGACAAAGAATGGGACAGTACCTAGGCTAGGAAGAGAGAAGGGTGGAGGGGGTGTGTAGAGGGGTGAATAGGGCTGGTGGAGTCAAGGAGCAGGAGTGTGCAATGGACTTACCCAGGAGACAGGCAGGTGCATTTTGCAGGCCCAGAGAAGCAGAGGGAGGTGAAGGTGGGACCAGGCCCAGAGGGCTCCCGGGGACTGTGAGAAGGTACTGGATGGAAGGGATCAGGAAGCAGTGGTGGTTCCAGGCCTAGAGGTCAGCCCTGATGTCCAGGAAAGAGGCTGGTGGGTCGTGCAGCCCAGGGAAGCAGAGGGAGCTGAGGACGGAACCAGGCTCAGAGGGCTCCAGGAAGAGAGGCGGGTGCGTTGTACAGCCCAGGGAAGCAGAATTCCCTTTCTTTCTTAAAGTGGACCACTGTTTCTGCATTGTAAGTCACAGTCAGCAGGATTGAGTCAGCCTTGTGTTGAAGCCCTGAGTCTTTGCTTGTTTGCAGAGCATCCCTGAGTTCTGTGTCAGGAAAATGATTATCACACCCACCCTGGCTGGCTCCCCAGAGCTCTGCATTCACTTCTTGTGCCCATTGAAGCAATTGTTACTCCATGCCGTCCGCCTTCTGTGTCCTGCTTTGTATCTTCCTCAGTACCACAAGACATGTTGTCAGAGTTGCTCAGAAAGAAAGGAATAGCAAACAGGGCTGTGACCACCATACTAAAGGATGACTTTTATGCTGTGTGGGTGGCTTTTATGTGGCTTTTATGCTGTGTGGGTCACAGTTCTGGGTTCCTATGAACACAAGACAAGCACCATTAGCTACGTAATGCACACAAACTCTGACTGCAGGCATATGAACATGTCTGGCGTTCTGTGAGTGAATCGTGCTCTTTTCACTGTAGGTCGTGACTGGGAAGAACTTCTACTTGAAAATAGAGCTAGGCCGAACCATATGTACGAAGGCCCAGTCTGATTCAGCTGATTGCCCTTTCAGTGAACAGTCAGATCAGCAGAAGGTATGTGTATAGTATAAGGCATGCAAGATGAGTACCTTCCATGAAGGCATAAGGTGTGCAAACGTATTTGTCTGTGTGTAGATGTACATCTGGGAGGGCTTGTGTGCAATTGTGTAAGTATATGAGTGAAGACATGCATATGTGTCTGTGTCACTGTGTGTATAGGTGTGCACATGTGTGAGTTTGAAGAGGTTAATGTGTTTACACACATGATTGGGGGGCGTATGGTTCATGAATAGGTACATATGGGTGTGGTGACATCACTGTATGCCAATACAGACCCCTTGATGATATAGGGTGATTCAGGAGTATCTTTGCCCATACGATTAATGTCAGTTGCTCAGTTTACCCTCAAAATTAGAGTACTAACTGTTTAGAGGGTGTTCCTGCTGATCTGATGGAGTCAATTGCAGAGGTAGTTTCTACAGAGAAGGGGTTTTTGCTCAATCCCAGCCTGAATTCTTTGCCTGGGCGATGCTGAAGAGATTAGAGTCCCCTAGGTGACTCAGATCCTCCAGTGCTGCTGTTTACAACCCCCACATGCTTTTGGATGTTACTAGATCTTGGGGTACCATGTTCAGGGAATAGCTGCGGTCTCCTTGTCATATCTCCTTACATACTGCCATGTTCAGGAGTATGTCATTCCCTTGATTCTTCCATCCTTGCCCATCTTAGTGCTGACTTAGGTATTGTATTGGAGGTGGAGGGACTCAGGGGTACTAGGCCTCATCCCCTGGCCTGATCTCTGGAAATTCTGTGCTTCCTTCTTAAAGAGCTGTGCTGGGGAAGGGGGATGTGGAATCTCATGATCTGTGAGGGTGAGGGACATGTACCATCTGGTGACTGGTTGCAATGGGAGGGATAAATGAATGGGCACTGCAGAGTCAGTCTGAGTGCCTCAGGATAGGACTTAGCAGAGACTACTGGAACCAGTAAGTGTCTCACCAATATCATTCCCACCCCAATTCTGACATTTCAGACTGGGCACATTTTCTTTTAGATTTAACCCACATTGACTGCCCCAATCTCTTTCCTTTTTGCAGAAAGTAACCTGCAATTTTGAGATCAACACAAAGCCTTGGTTGAACGAGATGTCCATGACAAACTTCAACTGTCATAGTGCCTGAAGGTCTCTCCTAGGGTACACTATGATAGCAAGTGCTTACTTGATATTCTTGTAGTGTCTAATTCCTCAGATAAGGATTTTAGTCCTGAAGAATTTCTCCTCAGCATGCCAGCAACAAGAGAGGATGCTTCTGTGGAAAGATTGTGTACACCAAAGTGTCTATCCCCTTGTTTCTTTCTTCTCTTTGCTTTTCAAATGCACCAGTGGGTAGCCCATGTAGACTTCTCATGCTTTATTCAATAAAACAGTAGCATCAGCTCCTTCTGAGTTGCTTTTGTCCCAAGACATGTGAGAAGTCGGGATGGAGCACATGGAAGATGAAACCGCACACTCACATGTGCATATTGAAATAAACACTGGTACCTTTGAGAATATCTGTGTCTCAGAGCAGACAGAGAAGAGATGGACTGATACTCTAGTGTCTATCTTTAATGGCTTGTGGGAGATGAAGAAGGGAGTGAGGACACCTGAGATGTTGCCTTGTAACCTGGCAAACAGCTTTGAAAAGGAGTCAGTGAGGCAAGTGGTGGTGCCATGGCTAGGACCAATCTAATTTTTGTGTGCAGAAATGACCCAATGAGAAGGACCACATTCATTCCACTGAACTTCAGAGACCATATGCATGATAATTCCCACCCATTTATGCCCATGATAGATTTAGGAATTTTCATAAAACAAAGCTGAATGTATGTGTGTATAACTGACAGGGAAAAGAGTGATGAACATCCAAGGTGGGGTGATATAACCCAGAAGGCAGCATTCCTCCTTTGCATCCCATGTGGTCATGACCTATGAAGATGACAGGCAGATGCTTCCAGTCTTTTATGTTCTGATGTAAAACAAGTCCTTAGTGAAATAAGGACAAGCCAAACTCTAAATCAGAGGACAGAAAAAATACAGAGCAGAAAGTAATGAAATGGAAATTATACATACAGATATATACATCCACTGAATCAGAATTGTTTTTTTGCAAAGGGCAAACCCTTAGCCAAACTAACCATAAAAGAGATAGGACACACAAATTTCTAGAGAGAAAATGAGACATTACAACAGATACCAATGAAACTCAAATCATAAGAACATACCTGTGAAATGTATATTCCAAAAAGTTGGAAAATGTAAAGGAAATGAATACATTTCTAGATACATAAGAACTATAATTAAACCCTGAGGATATATACAATTTAAACAGATCTAAATAAGCAATTAGATTGACATAGCAATAAAGCACAAATTGAATTCAAGAATATATCAAAAGAGGGGCTATAGGCATATATAAACTATATATAATAGAGTATATTAAATAAGATGGGCTTTAGTAATGGGAAATGGGGACATGGGAGGGATCTAAACATGATGAAAGTATATTTATGAATGTGAGCATTGTAGGCAGAGAGAAGGATAAAAATCTCAGATCCATGGCATTGAATTCAACAGGAGTATAGAAGAAAAATCCCTAAATTAAGGAAAAATATAGCTACACAGACACATGAAGCACAGAGAAAACCAAAGAGATATCATCAGAACAGAAACCTCATGACATATAGTAAAACCACTAAATGTACATAACAAAGAGAGTGCTGAAAGCTGTAAGGGAAAAATAACAAGTTACATATAAAGGAAAACACATCAGAATCACAGCTGATATTTCAATGCAAACTGCAAAAGGCAGAAAGGCCTGGAGCAAAGTATTCCAAGTTCTAAATAACCATAGATGCCAACTCAGAATACTTTACCCAGCAAAACTGTCTCTCATAGTCAGGAGAAAGAAGATACAAATACTCTCAAAGAATTCATGTACACTAAACCAGCTCTATAGAGAATACTGTAAACATTACAAAGGACTGATGAAATGAATGATCATATCCAAGAAACCACAGAAATAAAACAAATGAGACTCTAATTATAGAAACACAAAACAGAAATTAAAATGACAGTAACCACATCTTTCAATAATAACCTTAAATATCAATGGTCTCAACTCCTCAGTCAAAAGCCACAGGCCAGTTGAATGCATAAGGAAACAAGATCTATCTTTATGTTGTCTAGAAGAAATTCATCTTACCTTCAAGGATAGATATCACCTTAGGGTGAAAGGGTGGGAAAATATGTCAAACAAATGGCACTAAGAAATGAATGGATGTTGCTATTCTAACACCTGACAAAATAGACTTCAAACTAAAATTGTTGAGAAGTGATAAAGAAGAACGCTTCATTCTGATCAATGGAACAGTTGACCAGGAAGACATAGCAATCATGAACATATATCCACCAAAATCTTGTGCACCCAATTTTATAAAAATGTACTACTAGAATTCATGACACAGATTAACCCCAACTCAGTAATAGTAGGTGACATCAACACCCTATTTTCTCCACTAGATAGGTCATCTGGCAAAAGAATAAATAGAGAAACATGAATTAAATGATATCATACATCAAATGAACCTAACTGACCTCTACAGAATATTCCACCCAAACATCAAAGAATGAACATTCTACTCAGCAGCCTGTGGAAGTTTCCCTAGGCTAGACCACATAGTGGGCCACAAAACAAACATTAACAATTATGAAAATTGAAATAATTGCATATGCTCAATGGGACCACAATGGAATAAAGCTCAAAATCAACAGCAGAAGAAGCTACATGAACTAATCGAGATTGGACGACAAACTTCTGAATCATGAATGGGTCAAAGAAGAAATCAAGAGAGTAATAAAAGTATTCCCTAGAGTTAAATGAAAATAAGAGAACACAGCAAAACCTTCGGAGCACATTAAAGCAGCCCAAGAGGGAAGTTTATATCTCTAAGAGCCTACATTAAATAAAACCAGAGAAAGCACAAATAAATGACTTAATAGTACAACCCAAAGATCTGGTAAAGCAAAATAAACCAAACCCAAGCCAGAGATAAGAAGAAATAATAAATATCAGAGCAGAAATAAATGAACGAGAAACAAAGAAAATAATACAAAAAAGTAATGAATCTAAGTGCTGGTTCTTTGAAAATATAAACAAAGTAGACAGACCCTTAGCCTAGCTTACAAAAAGAAAAGAAAAGAACAAATGAAATTCAACAAAATCGAGATGAAGGAGAAACCATGACAACAGACATTAAAGAGATCCAGAACATTATAAGGAGGTTTTTAAAAGCTATACTCTATTAAATAAGAAGATCAAAAAGAAACAGACACATTTCTAAATTCAATGAAACCACCAAAGTTAAACCAAGAAGAGCTCAACAACCTAAACAAATCCATAACAAATAAGGAACCTAAGCCAGTTATACAAAGCATCCCAACTAAAAAGGGCCCAAGTCCAGATGAATTCACAGCAGAATTTTACCAGGCCTACAAGGAAGATCAACAATCAATACTGCTTAAATTATTCAAAATGTTAGAAATTGAGGGAGAACTCCAGAACTCCTTCTATGCTGTCAGTATCACTTTAATACCAAAAGCAGATAAAGACACAACCCCAAAAGAATACAATAAGCCCATAGCTCTAATGAACATAGATGAAAATTTCTCAACATGATACTGTGAATCACATACAGACACATATCCAAAAGATCATCTACTATGACCAAGTTGACTTCATCCCAGAGATGCAAGAATGGTTCAATATATGTAAGTCAATAAATGTAGTAAATGAAGAAAGATTGTCTTAAAGGCAAAAATCACACAATCATCTCAATAGACAAAATACAACATCCATTCATGATAAAAGTCCTAAGGGAAACAGACTGGAGGGAACATATCTCAACACAATTAAGGCTATCTATAACATACCCACAGCCAACATCATTCTAAATGGAGAAAAACTTGAAACATTCCATTAAAATGATAATGAGAGAAAGTTGTCCATTATCCCTACTTCTCTTCAACCCAAATGTCCCTCAAATGATGAACAGATAATAAAAATGTGGTATATTTAAACTATGATGTTCTCTCCAGCAGTAACGAAAAATACAATCATGAAATTTGCAGATAAATGGATGGACCTAGCAACTGGTATACTATTTAAAGCAACACAGACTCAGAAAACAAGCAACGTATCTTCTTTGTCATTTGTGGTTTCTAGCTCCAAATCCTGAGATGTGCATATATAAGCTAATGTAGCCACAAGAGTCAGAAATATATAAAGAAACCATAGGCATAAAAGGGAAGAAGTGTCTCAAAAAAGAGGACTAGCAAGAGACAGCTGTTACCAATAGAAAAATGGGGAAAACTGTGAATACTTTAACTGGGGACGGAATAGAGAGAGAGAAGAAACAAACATAATGCTTAGGTGATATGTAAAATCAGAGGGAGATATATAAGTTCCTGTGTGTGTGCATGTGTGCGCGCGCGCGCGTGCGTGTGTGTGTGTGTGTGTGTGTGTGTGTGTGTGTGTATGCCCATATGTACAACTGAAAGCTATATATATTTAAAAAAACAACAACAACACAGTGCCAGGCAGGCGAAATCTCCATTTGCCAGGATAGTCCATGAGACTCCCAAAATAACACAGGCTATTGCCACGGCCCTCGATTGCCTCCCTAGAACTTATCTGGAAGCCTCCTCCCTGAAGACTAGCTCCTATGTTATCAGAAGATACTATGCAAACTTCCAAGAGAGAAAACCAATCAGTGATTTCATCCAGCTGTAAGATCTCTGAATAACAACAGTGACTGGGCCAGCAAGTAATCTCTGCTGGTGAAGTAGTGGCACTTTATTTTGGGGGTAATCAGCAGCTGTCTAACTGGACTTACAGTCCACTCAATGAGCGGGAACTCGTGTGATACTGTAAATATAGCTAAATACACATGGTTGGAGATGAAGTAGGTCTTGGAGAAAAACCTCTGTCTGTCACGTCCCTAGACCAGTGGAATTTCCTGCTGCGTTCTAAATGTGTATTCTTATATTTACAGACAAGTGCACCTCTCACTATTCACCAAAGAAGCTTCTTTTTGCAACAGATGGAGACCATTACAAAGTCCCACAACCGGTTAAATGGAG